TCTGCCAGTTTTTACACAATGATTGGTGCAATAATTATTATTCATATAAGTACGCGCGGGGCGAGGAATGGGGTAAACAATGAAGCCTAATAGCGTAAATACGCAGGATATGTTTGTTTGACAGCAATTTACTTAAATTACACAAATGCCGGTTTACTTATCACACAACTGAGAATTGCGAAGAGTAATTTATTTCACTACGATTACACATTTGTATGTCAATATTAGTACCATTAGACTAAGTTCATTTAAACAATTGTTATTTCGTTTTCTATGTATGCTTGTGATACAGTTCAGCTCATACGTTAACCCTGATTTAATTGTCCTCATATATCATAATGTCAATATGCCGTTGACATACGAATCATTTCCATACATCAATTTTCGTGTTATCGAGTTACTCAAAGTGTACTTGCGTGGAATATGAGGTGGAATATCGGTTACAAATTTGTGCGATGAGCAGATGTGTACCTGCTCGTAACTGCTCCTCTGCTCAATGAGATATTTCATACCCACTTGAAATTTTGTTGATAAAATGAAAATTTACATATGAACTAGCGGCCGGAAAGAAAATTTCAGACATGGTTTAACGATTTTAACATTTATTTGTCTTGCAATTAGTTACAGCAATAAATAATAATTTTCCCTAAAACGTTTTCTAATTTTTTTTTTCGCTCGTTTGCCATATATGGTTTCCTTAAGAAAGGTTAGGTAAACCTTTGCTATTGGATTAAATTTAAAGTCTAATTATCATCATCGTCATAATCTTCACTGTCTTTATTTTCCTCGTCATCTTTAATCTCGTGGTCGCTTAAAAGCCTTTTAATAAGAAACTTTCTCTTATCAACTGCAGCTTCTATTGCTTCTTCTGGGTCAAAATCATCATTTTGAATAAACGATTCCTTTGTGTGCATTATTTTCCTATGTACTAGATCTTTCTTTAGTTGTCTTATCCACAAAAGGCGCTCTAAATAGATATTTTCTAATTCTTTCTGGAGTCTAGGCATAATATTCAAGTAGGCTTTTTCTTTAGCAGATTGCTCGTCGAAACCTTTGTCGCTTGTGAGGCGTTCTTTCATTTCCTCGAAAGCTGTGTTACTTCTTTGTTTTGCTTCTTCTATTAGTGGTATCCAGGGATCCATTTCTTCTCCAGATTCTGAGTCAGTCGTCGTCGAACCTCCTGACTGCTGAGTAGAAGTTGTTGAGACATCGTCACGGAAATCTCTTTCTTGACTGTCCGAGTCTGTGGCAAGAGTGTCTTGTTTCATCAAAAACCAAAAAAAAAAAACCTGATTGTTGGGCTACCTATGCAAGAATAGACAAGAGTGAGCACGTTTAATAAGTATCTATCTCAAAGGATAATGCGCATGCGTATTACGTGTTTTGTTATGTCCCACAATCAAACGGTAAACGTTTTGTATTTATATTTCGTGGTTCGTGCAGAAACTGATCAACTGATAACTTTAAATTTTCATCCGCTGCGAAACGAAATCGTTTGTGTCATATCAGTAAATTCAGTTCTGTAAGGAATTGGTATATTATCGACGGTTAACCGAAGAGGCTTAGGTAAGACGTCAATTAAATTTATCACTTCCAAATTCCAAGTAGTTGCTGTGCCCTTGTTGGCTGCACCAATGAAGAAAGAATCTGAGGTGCCCCTTGGGAAATGTCTAGCAACGAACGGGTTCAATTGTTTATTTATGTGCGAAGACTTCTTAGTAGTTGCTGTGCCCTTGTTGGCTGCACCAATGAAGAAAGAATCTGAGGTGCCCCTTGGGAAATGTCTAGCAACGAACGGGTTCAATTGTTAATTTATGTGCGAAGACTTCTTAGTAGTTGCTGTGCCCTTGTTGGCTACACCAATGAAGAAAGAATCTGAGGTGTCTCCTGGGAAATGTCTAGCAACGAAAGGGTTCAATTGTTAATTAATGTGCGAAGACTTCTTAGTAGTTGCTGTGCCCTTGTTGGCTGCACCGATGAAGAAAGAATCTGAGGTGCCCCCTGGGAAATGTCTAGCAACGAACGGTTTATTTTAGTTGTGAAGTTTATTTAAGGCTGTTTGGTCAGAAAAACTAACAGACTTATCTGTTTTAGAATGGATAACACTTGCAGGACTTGTTTAAAACAGTTCACACAGCTGCGAAGTTTGCGTCGTCATGAACGGTGTATTCATGGTGAAAGAAGGTTTTGTTGTGATCATTGTGGCGAGTCTTTCACACGAAAAGATGCTTTGAGGCGGCATCAGAAGCGTCATCAAAAAATGATTACACACACTTGCAACAACTGCATGAAAGATTTCCACCGTCGAGATAAATTAGTAGAACATCAAGTTCATTGTCAAAGGAATCCACTGAAGAGAAAGCGTAATGAAGGCGATAATAGTCCGGCTCCAAAGAAAATGGGAGTTCAAATTGGAGAAGGTAAACCCGATGATCAAGTCGAAGAAGATAACCCTTGCAGTTCTACTTCGGCGTTTGACGATTCTTTGAAGAAGATTGAGTTGAAACCGCGGAAAGATCAGAAACAGGACGTGTCCCACTTCTTACGCGGCAAGACAAAATCCATTTTGAGTCACCTTTCCAACGAATTAGCAGAGAAAAGAGGCATCAAATGGTTCATCAGTGTTAAAGTACGATTCGTCAAACCTAAACCCAATGGCGAGAGTCTGACTACCGAATCCCACTTCCGCAGTCTCTGCATGAAAACAGTAGACCAGCACGAACTGCATAATCAACTAGAGGAGGTCAAGCAGAAAATTACCCAGTCACTAGTTTTATTTCAAAGAGAAGGAAGTGGTTGGGTATTAGACGAAATCCTTCATCTTGACCTGAGTATAGCTCAGTATACTCCAGTAAAAGGATCCAGCTACATCCCTCTTCCCAGCAAGATAAACGCCAAGAAAGCAGTAATCAACATCAAGAATTCTGATAACAAATGCTTCATGTGGTCTGTCCTCGCCGCTCTTCATCCAGTAAAACAGAGTGCAGAGAGATTGCATCATTATCAACAGTTTCAAGATGAACTAGATTTTGCTGGTATTGAGTTTCCTGTTACTATTGACAAGATTGGAAAATTTGAGCATCAGAACAATATTTCCATTAACGTGTTTGGCTTCGAAGACGTGCTTTTTCCATTGTATATCACAAAAGAACACTTTAATACCCATGTGAATCTGTTGTTATACTCCCAGGGAGAGACTAGACATTACTGTTTTATAAAAGATCTGAATAAATTCCTCTACAGTCAAAACCGTCACGAATCTCGCATGTTCTTTTGCCGGTATTGTCTACATGGATTTATCCGAGAGGACCTACTCCAAGATCATGAACCACACTGTTGCCAACACGGTCCACAGCGTATTGAACTCCCTAATCAAGATAATGCTCAACTGTTCTTTAAAGACTACCACAAGCAATTGAAAGTGCCCTTTGCAATCTACGCCGACTTCGAAAGTCTTACCACCAAGATCAACTCAGTTAATCCTAATCCTGAAAAATCCTCCACTGAAAAATACCAACACCACCAACCTTGTGGATTTTCCTACATTGTTATATCCGACCATGCGAAGTACTCCAAATCACCCGTCGTGTATCGCGGAGAAGATGCAGTCGACGAATTTTTGAAGTGTTTAGAAGAAGAGCAGAAATATATTCAAGAGAAGCTGGATTGGGTCGAGCCCATGCGAATTGAGAGAGAAGAAGAGCAAGCGTTTCAAGATGCAGTCCATTGTCATATTTGTGAATATGAATTGGGTTCTGACCGTGTTCGTGACCATTGTCATCTTTCTGGAAAGTACCGCGGAGCTGCACACAACGATTGCAATTTGAACTATAGTTTTAATGGTCAAGTACCCGTTATTCTTCACAATCTACGCGGTTATGACTCTCATCTCATCATGCAAGGACTTGGTAAACTCAAAGACAAGAAGATCAACTGCATTCCAAACAACACCGAAAAGTACATCTCCTTCTCCATCGATAATCTGGATTTTATCGACTCCCTACAATTTATGAATGCATCGCTGGAGAAGTTAGTATCCAATCTAGCAAAGGATGGTGTTGACAAGTTCCCCACTCTAAAGAAATACATCGACAGCGATAAAACACCCCTTTTGCTGAGAAAAGGCGTCTACCCCTACGACTACATGGATTGTACAGAAAGATTTGAAGAACCAACTTTACCACCGAAGGAATCCTTCTACAACGTGTTGAACGACGAACATATTTCAGACGAAGATTACGCACACGCGACGAATGTATTTAACAAGTTTTCCTGTCGGAACATGGGTGATTACCATGATTTGTACTTGACGTCGGACGTTCTTCTCCTTGCAGATGTGTTTGAAAATTTTCGAAGCGTGTGCCTCAAAGCCTACAACTTGGATCCCTGCCATTTCTACACAAGTCCTGGTCTAGCCTGGCAGGCGTGTTTGAAAATGACTGAAGTCGAACTCGAAGCTTCTAACTGATCCAGACATGTACTTATTCATCGAAGAAGGTCTTCGCGGGGGAATTTCAATGATTAGCAACCGCTATGGTAAAGCCAACAATCCATACGTTCCCGATTATGACCCAGAACAAGAGACCTCCTACGTTATGTATCTTGATGCTAACAACCTCTATGGCTGGGCTATGTCGCAACCTCTACCCACAGGTGAATTTGACTGGCTAACCGACCAAGAGATTGCAGAACTTGACATCATAGACGTTGCGGACGATGACGATGAAGGCTACATATTGGAAGTAGACCTACACTACCCCTCCGAACTACACGATCTTCACAACGATTATCTCTAGCACCTGAGAAAATGAAGATTTCTTCAGAGATGTTGTCACCGTACTGCCAAGACCTGTCGGAATGTTTGCAACTTCGTGGTGGGGTTGTGTCTAAATTGGTGCCGAATCTCCGGAACAAGACCAATTATGTAGTCCATTACCGCAATTTAAAGCAATACCTGGCACTTGGCATGAAGTTGGCAAAGATCCACCGCGTTTTGGTATTCCACAAAGCCCATGGTTAAAGACCTACATCGATTTCAACACGAGAAACGAAAACATGCAGCAAACGACTTCGAGAAAGATTTCTACAAGTTGATGAATAACTCGGTGTTCGGAAAAACCATGGAAAATTTGAGAAAGCGCGTCAACGTCAAGCTCGTCAACGATAAGACGAAACTATCGAAACTAACAGCATCTCCATCCTTTGACTACTTCCGCATATTCTCTGAAGATTTAGCAGCTGTCAACATGAAGAAGACGAAGCTTTACCTAAACCGTCCAATCTACGTCGGATTCACCATCCTGGATCTCTCCAAAGTACTCATGTATCAGTTTCATTACGAGTACATGAAACCCAAGTATGAGTACAACGCAAAGTTGTTGTTCACAGACACAGATAGCCTTTGTTACGAGATAAAGACCGACGACGTTTATCAAGACATGTTGCAAGACATCGATCTCTTTGACACATCCGAATACGCACGAGACCATCCACTGCACAGCCTGACGAACAAGAAAGTCCTTGGCAAAATGAAAGATGAAACGCATGGCATACCCATCCAAGAGTTTGTGGGGTTGCGACCGAAGATGTACTCCATTCTCTATACCGAAAACGACAAGCAAGTGGAGAAGAAAACGGCTAAAGGAATAAAGAAGTCCGTCACCAAACGAAAGCTTCGGCACATCAACTACAAGGAATGTTTGTTTGATAAGAAACGGACAATGGCCAGCATGAATCAGATTCGAAGTGAACGCCATGAAATCTACTCCATTAAATTAAACAAGATTGGTCTTAGCCCTTATGACGACAAACGCTATATTTTAAAGGATGGAGTGAACACTCTTGCTTATGGACATTACCAAATCATAAGCACAGACGAGTGAAATATCAAGTTTTATTGTTGTTGAACAATACATAAGTTACGTTTTAAAGTTATAATTATTGCAATTGCATGAAATACAAAGTTATGTTACAATGTTACGTGTTTATAAAGTTGAAGTTACATGTTTATTTATATCAAGAGGAGGTTTTTTTTTCATGCTTGGAAAATGCTCAAACCTTATAAAATCATAATACTGTACGCATGCGTGAATGCATTAAGGTGTGTTTTGAGAGTTCGGTGTTGAGTGTGGGGTTTACATAGAAACAAACTCTCCTCTTAAGTTACGTTTTAAAGTTATAAATTGTTCTGAAAGTTAATAAATTGTTCTCAAAGTTAATAAATATTTGAAAGGAATCCTTTGATTATTCTCAGTCTTCAGTTTGTGGTATATTGATCCAGATTCTACCACATCTATTTAGTCTAAAAATGCAGCCATTTTGCTGGGATATTGTTTGGATTGTCTTTTGTATGTTCAACACTGTCGTTTTTCCTCTTTAGAACTCTGGGCTTGCTGTTTTCCTTGCTTATCTTTCTGGTGCTTAATAATTCATTCACCCCGTCTTGCTGTTGTTTGTTCTCATGTCTGTTCTCATCATCAAGAGTGTTCTCATTTGCTCTGTTGTATACCACACATTTCCCTTTCGGCTTTAGTTTGGCTTCTTGTAGGTACTTCCTTCTTTGGTCAATATCGAGCAGATGCACATCCGCAAGATGATTTGCCAATCTTACAAGGTATTTTGCACCGCAATTGGGAACGGTACAATCACGACAAACGCGCTTTGCCATGTCTGCGGTTTGAAGAACAGGGTGCAAATGAGCTGTTTCCTCTGATTACTGACTTTTATTAGGGCCAATCGGGCCAAAGTACAGGCCAATCGGGCCAAAGTCAGGCCAAAAAGGCCAAAAAGGCCAAAATAGGAGATACAGCTCCTCCCAATCCATAACCTAGTATGAACAGTTCTTTCTCGATTCTTTTACATACCTTTCCCACTGTCTTCATCACAGTTTTGGATCGTTTGATTGTCATTGAAGGCTTGGCTGTTTGCTTGATTCCCAATATCTTGTTCAGTAAGTTGGTTTTATTCCGGCGTTTAAATTTATGCTGAGGCATAAAGGCTTGTCTGGCAGATTTACTATCTTGTTATGAGAATGTTTTTTTTTTCTCGATTCTTTTACACTTAAACGTTACCCCTGCTTTTCGGATCATCACCAATTCAGTTCGTTTGTGTATCGTAGTGCAGTTAGTCGTTCGCTTGAGCTTGAGTTTCTTGATCTTGTGCAGTTTGGCTTTTTTCTGATCTTTAACATTTTTCTTCTTTTTAATAGTCCTTTTACGTAGATCATTTACCATAGTTGATTTTGAACGTAAAACCTCTTTCTTTGAAGATGCTTTAGGAGATATCGTTTTCTGTGCACACTTGGCTGGCATATTGCAAAGTAAGGATACAGTTTAAAATCATGTTATTTTATACATATGATTTTCGCGATCACAGCACTTCTTACAAAAACCTAAAAGTTTCTTCTTTTAGCATCCGTCTTCGATCTGTACAAAAATTACATCTCCATTCAGCACGTGTATATTTGAGCAGCTCCGGACTGTCTACACATGCAGGGGTTAATTTCCGTTAGGGTTTCGATAAAAACCTCCGTGACCTTTGTCTCTGAGATTTTTGACAACGCCTCATCGAAATACATGCATAAGTGTTCGACTTTTTCCATAGTGAGACATTGAAGGTTTGGCTGAGATAAATTTTCCATTATGATGCAATGATGATATCTCAACTTGTGGTTGAAAATTGTGATCACAATTTTCAACCACAAGTTGAGATATCATCATTGCATCATAATGGAAAATTTATCTCAGCCAAACCTTCAATGTCTCACTATGGAAAAAGTCGAACACTTATGCATGTATTTCGATGAGGCGTTGTCAAAAATCTCAGAGACAAAGGTCACGGAGGTTTTTATCGAAACCCTAACGGAAATTAACCCCTGCATGTGTAGACAGTCCGGAGCTGCTCAAATATACACGTGCTGAATGGAGATGTAATTTTTGTACAGATCGAAGACGGATGCTAAAAGAAGAAACTTTTAGGTTTTTGTAAGAAGTGCTGTGATCGCGAAAATCATATGTATAAAATAACATGATTTTAAACTGTATCCTTACTTTGCAATATGCCAGCCAAGTGTGCACAGAAAACGATATCTCCTAAAGCATCTTCAAAGAAAGAGGTTTTACGTTCAAAATCAACTATGGTAAATGATCTACGTAAAAGGACTATTAAAAAGAAGAAAAATGTTAAAGATCAGAAAAAAGCCAAACTGCACAAGATCAAGAAACTCAAGCTCAAGCGAACGACTAACTGCACTACGATACACAAACGAACTGAATTGGTGATGATCCGAAAAGCAGGGGTAACGTTTAAGTGTAAAAGAATCGAGAAAAAAAAAACATTCTCATAACAAGATAGTAAATCTGCCAGACAAGCCTTTATGCCTCAGCATAAATTTAAACGCCGGAATAAAACCAACTTACTGAACAAGATATTGGGAATCAAGCAAACAGCCAAGCCTTCAATGACAATCAAACGATCCAAAACTGTGATGAAGACAGTGGGAAAGGTATGTAAAAGAATCGAGAAAGAACTGTTCATACTAGGTTATGGGATTGGGAGGAGCTGTATCTCCTATTTTGGCCTTTTTGGCCTTTTTGGCCTGACTTTGGCCCGATTGGCCTGTACTTTGGCCCGATTGGCCCTAATAAAAGTCAGTAATCAGAGGAAACAGCTCATTTGCACCCTGTTCTTCAAACCGCAGACATGGCAAAGCGCGTTTGTCGTGATTGTACCGTTCCCAATTGCGGTGCAAAATACCTTGTAAGATTGGCAAATCATCTTGCGGATGTGCATCTGCTCGATATTGACCAAAGAAGGAAGTACCTACAAGAAGCCAAACTAAAGCCGAAAGGGAAATGTGTGGTATACAACAGAGCAAATGAGAACACTCTTGATGATGAGAACAGACATGAGAACAAACAACAGCAAGACGGGGTGAATGAATTATTAAGCACCAGAAAGATAAGCAAGGAAAACAGCAAGCCCAGAGTTCTAAAGAGGAAAAACGACAGTGTTGAACATACAAAAGACAATCCAAACAATATCCCAGCAAAATGGCTGCATTTTTAGACTAAATAGATGTGGTAGAATCTGGATCAATATACCACAAACTGAAGACTGAGAATAATCAAAGGATTCCTTTCAAATATTTATTAACTTTGAGAACAATTTATTAACTTTCAGAACAATTTATAACTTTAAAACGTAACTTAAGAGGAGAGTTTGTTTCTATGTAAACCCCACACTCAACACCGAACTCTCAAAACACACCTTAATGCATTCACGCATGCGTACAGTATTATGATTTTATAAGGTTTGAGCATTTTCCAAGCATGAAAAAAAAACCTCCTCTTGATATAAATAAACATGTAACTTCAACTTTATAAACACGTAACATTGTAACATAACTTTGTATTTCATGCAATTGCAATAATTTATAACTTTAAAACGTAACTTATGTATTGTTCAACA